CCACATACAGACCGGTTCTCGCTCACTGGCTGAGCGAGGTGTGGGAGCAACACCGAGGGTTGCGATCCCATTGCCGGTTCCGGTCCGGTACGGGCGCAACACTGAGGGTTGCGATCCGTTGCCGGACACGAAAAAAGACAAAAAGGAAAAAAAAAAATACATGAGTGTGGATATATATATATATATATGGGTCTTCAAAAAGTTCATGGAAAGATTTGTATTATCTTTTAATTCAGTTTTCCATGAACTTTTTGCAGTACTCTTATCTGTCTATAGATAGGTAGATATCGATAGATATCTGTATATATGAACCTATCAGTTATCTTCGAAGGGTAGGAGGACACCAACTCATTTTTATGAAACTTGATAAATAAAGGTAAAGAATCAAGCATTTTGCAATTTTCCTCCTTTCCTTATACAAATTGTACTTCAGGGTAACCAAATTGCCAATAAGCCAAGTTCTTTGTTGATAAATTCTAGCTAATAAATATAGAAATAATGATAAAATTTCAATCCCTAATAAAATAATGGATCTACACCAGGGATCAGCAGAGTACAGCTCTTGGGCCAAATCTGACCTGCCACTTGTTTTTGTAAATAAAGTTTTATTGGAACACAGCCAAGCTCATTTGTTTACATATTGTGTGTGGCTGTTTTCCCTTACAACAGCAGAGGTGAATAGTTGTGACAGAGACTATATGTCTCTGTCATATGTCAAAACCAGAAATATTTACTATTTGACTCTTCATAGAAAAAGTTTGCCAGCCCCTGATCCAAACAGGAATCTTCAGTGGCTGCTAAAACCATTAGGTGAAAAGTTGCTGAGAGATTTTATAGTGGATACATCAAGATTGATATCACTGGATCCCCCTGGTGCCTCTTGATGCAAAAGCTGTACATGTGCACCACCTGTAAAGTATTCCTGTCAGATCAAACCAGAATCTGATCAAGTCTCTTCATTTTGCTGATAATTTAAAGGAAATCCATGGGATAGAGGAATATCACAGAGATGCATTCAGCAAAATTCATAACGTGGGAAAGTTATTTTAGATTAAGAGATGTAAGAGACATATCAACAAATGTAATATGGACTTTGTTTGGATTTTGCTTTGAACAAACTGAGTATGAAAATGCTTATTTATGAAATAGAAAAATTTGAACACTGACTGTATACTTGATGACATTAAGAATTATTTCTTTTTTTTAGGTGTGATAACAATAGGTCATTTATTAATAGAGCCTATCTTTGGAGAAAGTATTTGTAGATGAAGTATATGATGTCAGTAATTTCTCTGTAGTCCAGCAGGGTTCTGGGGGTTATAGACAAAAGAAGAATGAACACATATCAACATTTGCAAAAGCTAGGTGATTGGTACATGAGAGTTTTCTATTTTATTTGTGTATGTTTAGAAATTTCCATAAAAATTCTTTTGTTAAGTTTCTGTTGGATAATTTTGGGTAGTAGAAAAGTAAATGCGGTTAACAACATGGAAAAAATGATAGAAAATTTCAAAAACCCTTGAGGAAGAGGAATTACAAACCAAATCCTAACCTTCTACATGATGGGCCTCTCATGGATGTGGCATTCAGTACATATATTGAACACTGAAGATAGAAAGTTAAAGTCAATATTTCCTCCCACAGGAGAACAAGGAGTGTTACTCTGGGGGTGAGGGTGGGAAGAGGTATTCTCAGACTGTCAGACTTTATTTCTCAATGTGATATTTTTTTGGATACTTCAAGTGTCCAAACTGATAGACTGATAGAGATACAGATATAAACCAAATAAGTTAAATTAAAAACCCCGTAATCTAACATTTTAATTGTAAATGCCAATATGAACTACTATTTTGTGTTTTGTTTTACTAGTTAATCTAAAAAATGGATTAATCTGAGCTAAAGCCCAGTTTCCTTCTCTTACTCTGCCCAACGGTAAATAATTGTGTTGGGGTGGGGTGGGGTGGGGTGAATGCATCAGAAAAGAGGCATTTGAACTAGATCTTGAAAGATGATTGTAATTTTTCCAGATAAGAAGTGAGGGCAGGAGTGCCACAGATAGAATGAATAACATGTGCAAAGCTAAAACTTGTAAATAAGCAGGATTTGGATAATGTCTAGTAGCTTATCATGACTAGACCGTAGAATTAACATAATTCAAATATTGACTACGAGGTGGAGAGGCAGGTCTGGCTCAGATTATGCAAGGCCTTGTTGATACTTTATCCTGTAGGCCAGGAAGCCTTGGTAGGCCAAGGAAGGGGATGAGATTTCTTTGGTAGAGGAAGAATTGGGGGGTGAGGAAGCAGAAGCAGGGAAAGCAGTTAGGCTCTTTCAAGAGTGTAAATGAAATAATTGCTTCAGTTAAGGCAGGGAGCCAAGAGAGAACCCTGGGGTGGACAGAGTAAGAGAGTTCACCAAGACACTGAGGAATGGCTAGAGAAACAATCCCAATGTTATTCAAGTGATTTTGAAGAACCTAAATTCTTTGAAGTTCTGATTGTAAACAAAATGTATTCTTAGAACTGATCTTAAGGTGTCTTTTTATATAATAATATTCCAGCATCTCTTAACCTGCGTTCTGACTGTGTAATAAGCTATTGCCTTGGTTTGATCATTGATAAAATTCACCCAATCAGTAAAAGAAAATAAAGTGTGTAGATTTTTTTTTTATAATGAAGAGTTTTTGTTTTGTTGTTTTAAGTGTGTAGATTTTTATTAGCTTCAGCCAAGTAATGCATATTGGTCAAAACTAGCAACTGCCTCTAAAACACCCAGGCAGTTTTCTTTCTAAAACTTATTGAAGCTATATAAATGTCCCAAGAAAGGATGAAAATGGTAAAGTCTATAACTTATTTATTTGATATTATAGTGTGCCAGATAGTCTTTAAAATTGCTTATTATAAGGGAATAATTATTTTTCCTGAATTTCTACATATGCTACAATCACTGTTAAAAGCATTTTATCTCCTAAATTCAAACTCTTCCCATGATTATAAATAAGAAAAAAAATACCTCTATCAAATCAATTTTAGATATTTAATATTGTGTTCTGAATATTTCTTCCAGATATAGGGAATTAAAAGTGAACATAATTTACCAGAGACAGGATGGATTCAGCATTTCTTAACTTTTTTGGTCCTTCGTTTCCCTTTCAGAGTAGTTGTGAGGACTAAGTTAGGTAATAAAAAAATTCGTGGGATATAATTATAATATGTGCAGATTTCTCTAACCTCTAGGGAGATGGAGATAAGGGGATATTATTTTATTTTTTCCAACCTTTCATACCCTTCTTAATTGTGTTGTTGGTCTTTTATTAGTTGATGCTTTAGTAACCTACTCTCCAGTTAAAATGTGTATGGTTCTTTTGTGACTTTTGTTCATTGAATAATCTTTTGTACTTTGATCTCTAGGAAAATCAGAGGGTCCTTAAAAATATGTTCAAAATCAGTGATTTTTGAACCAGATACAATATCCCAGCCCATCATTAAGGTAACACATTTTAGATGTGAACAGAAACATTCCTATTTTTTGTGTATATTTTGCCTTTGCTTATTTTTATAATATTCTTTCTTAATTTTATCCAGATTCCTTTGAGAGATTGTATAAAAATAGAAAAACATAGAGAAAATGGAGCCAATAGACACTTTGCAAAGTATGTCATTTTCACTAACTGTTTAATTTTACTTCAACCAAAAAACTTCTATATATTTAATGACTTATTTGTGTTTCAGGGCAAAATCAAGTGGAATTTCACTCATTTTCAGTCAGGTAAGAAGCACATAGCAAATATTTTTTTCCTAACCTGAATGAACACTTATATATGTATGTATGTATGTGTGTGTGTGTGTGTGTGTGTGTATACACACACAGAAATTTATATGTATACATATATTTTTTAGCATGATGAAATTTGTAGAAATCTATTTGTAGAACTCTCAAATGAAGTCTATTGGAATAAATGTTTAAATGCTTTTACAATTTAATGACTGAAAAATGTGTGTTTTGAAGATATGATCCCTAATAGGATCCTTAATGGTTATCAAGTGTGTGACATGGTTGTCTAGAGTGTGACATCTGTGGGCTGTGGCTTTGTCCTCAGGAGCTCTGACAGTGTGTGAGGGTGGAGATAAAGGGACAGCAGTTCCTTCTCTAGCCTCCTAGGTGTTTAGAAGGTAGGAGGCCAGTGCCAGTCCACTTAAATGGATCTCTGGAGCTCATGACAACCAAGACAACAATGCAGGATGGATGGTCTTGTACCATGACCCTTGAATCATGATCTTTGCTTATGCCTCAAGTATCCTGTGTACATTTCTGCACTCACTGCTGTGCATGGCACAGGAGCTTAATGCAGCATTGGCAGCACAAGGTAAATTAAGACGTGGTTTTTCTCACCTTCTTCATCTTTAAAATGAAGGGGTTAACAGTGTTGCCTCAACTCTGCAGAGCTCTAGTTCCTCGAGGTGTTGAGGTGTTCAGAGAAAAATCGTTCTGTGACCAAGTAAGTGTAGGAAAAGCTGTGGAAACAAAGGCACGCAGATTTCTTTACTTCAGGACTCAGCTCAAAAACATACGTGCATTGAGAGTCTCAAGGAGCCAAGTGGCAAGGAGACGAGAGTGCTCCCGGCATGTTTTGGATCACTGAAGCCCTTTGTTCATGAAACACGTTTTGATGTGTGTTGAAAATTATTTCGTGAAAACTGGAAGATATTGGGTTAGATGATTTTCTACATCTGCCTCCCATGATCCTATTAATTTTAAGAAAGAAAACATTTCACAGGCTATCTTTGACTTTATGTTGTTTTAACTGGCATATGTGAAAACAGCTATAGCTATCTACCTATTGGGGGACGAAATACAATTATCAATAATTCTGGTCCACACCTGTGGTCTCCTGTCTATAGAATCATTCTCCTTCATGGCCTTGTTCTAGAAAGTTTATGTCTTGAAAGGAAGAGGTACTTCAGTTGGAAGTAGGGTTTTCATTAGAAAACCACATTTTGGGCCGGCCCAGTGGCGCACTGGAGAGTGCGCCGCTTGGGAGCGTGGTGGCACTCCTGCTGAGGGTTCGGATCCCATGTGGTGACCAGTTCCCGTTCACTGGCTGAGCGCGGTGCGGGCGCGACACCGAGGGTTGCGATCCCGTACCGGTAAGTAAAAAAGACAAAAAGAAAAAAAAAAGAAAAAAGAAAACCTGATGAAGTAATTAGGCAGGGCTGTCCTTCTCTCTCCCTCAATCCTTCCCCCTTCTTGTAATTATAAAATGCTAAGCTCTGCTGGCAC